CCCGGCGGGAGCGGACCCCGCGCGCTGCCCCCGCCGCGTCCCGCAGCCGCCGCCGCACGCCCGGCCCCGGCCCGCAACCGCCTCTTCATTAATCCTCCCTCAATGTCATGATGTCACCGGCAGCGGTGCCAGCCCCGAGCTAAATAAGCAATAAGCCTCATTTTTCAACACACAAACACATAAAGATGTCAGCTCAAACTGTTTACTAATTAACACTTAAAAAGACACAAATTAGATATGCGTGGCTAAGAGCAATTATAATCAAGACGAATTTCTCTAGTCATTTGGGATCTGAAAAAAATGCCTAATTGCTGGAACCAATGTTTTAAAAACTGAAATCATGCCAGTTAGCAAATATGTTCATTTAAAGAACATTTCATGTGACTACGCTCTGGAGAATTGACTACAAACATCAGAACAAGGAAAAATATTTCTGTCTAAAATTAAAATTTTAAGCTCTTTTAGATTTACAACTTCTTCAATAAATATATTTGCAAAGAGCAGCCCATGAAAACTTGTAGCAATTAAGTGGTTAAATGAACTGCCTTCCCTGTCAGTTTAAAAGGAATGATTAATATTAGATGCTCACTTTGCTAATTAGACTCTCTCCAGACTTTGCCGGGTGCCCAGCTGGGATGAGGACGGGGTGCGCTCGCGGGAGCCCACGCTGGCCCGAGGGCTGACCCACCGCGCTGCCAACAGCCCCGTGGCACCCGCTGCCACCGAGGCCGCCACCGGTGCCACCCGCACCAACCGCTGCTGGAGACGGGACCAGCAAGGGGACACCCCTGCGGGGGACCCAGAGCGGCGCTGCCAGGGCTCTGCCCCGCGCCCACCCTGAGAGCCACCTCGCACAGTGCCCGCAGTGTGAGCCCACCCGCACCCTCTGCTTCTCCCTCTCTTCACCCACCCGTCCCCGCTCTCCCCTGGCACAGAGAGATGTCCCCCCAGGAGCCACCCAAAGCGCAGTAGGGGATTTGTGCCTATTGCCATGGGTTTTACCGAAAAGGCGGAGGCCCTTCGCTCCACGCACCTCACAGCGTGGAGGATGGGTGCACACATCTGCAAATGTGCTGACAGAGAACAATAACTCTTGGAATTCTTTGGGAATATTTTTTGCAGGGCATCTAGCTCCAGGGAAAATGTTCTCGCTGCTTTGGAAATCCAGAAGATTTGCTGTAATGGTGCTATTGCTTGCAAGGGAAATAAAGCCATGCAGAAATTCACAATATTTATATGTGCAGCTATCTACGTGCAGACAAGATGCTTCATCAAGGAATATGGGCTGCATAATTATACTTTTCATTACTCGGAAAGGCACACAGCCTGTAATGGAGCAGGAGGGTGTGGGACAGCCAGCAGGTATCCACCTCTCCCCCCAGGGCCACACAAACAACCTGGTGCCAGCGTCCCCGTGCTCCGCAGGCCTGCGAGGGACAGGGGGAGGCTGCTCAGCCCTCCCCTCTGGGCAGCACCCCGAGCTGCTGAGACTCTCCCTGCGCCAGGCGACACGCCGAGGGCTGCAGAAGCAAATCCAACACAGCTTCCCTTCCCCCCAGCACAAGGGACCCACTGCCCTGTGGCCGGCTCCTGGCGAGCACTGGGGAGGGAGGCACCCAAGGGGCCACCAGCCCCGAGCACCCTCCGCTCCCAGCGCTCGATGCCCGTCTGACAGACACAGGCAGTGCCCAACAGAAGCCACCCAGCGGGACTGCAGCACCTGACCCCATTGGGCAGCATCTTCAGAGCCACCCTGGCTGCTGCCCTGGCCCACTGGTGCCTGGGAGGTCCTGGCAACCAACCACCTTCTTTTTGTGCTCAGACAAAACTTCCAGGCAGGAGAACAGGATGGATTTTGGAAACTGGACTCACAATTGGAATAAAAAAGTAGAGAAGCCACGAGGAGTTGGGAAGTTTTCTAACTTTTTGCCTTAACCCAGCTGGCTGGCACAAGAGAAGATGTTTGCGCCCAACGGTGCCCAGAGATGCACACGCTGCTGGGAGAATTTTTGCTTTTCCTAGTAACAAGTCACCAGCACCATCAAACTGGAAAACAACAAAGTAGTTTACCTGACACTGCTTAATCGAGTTCATTTGCTTCCCTGAGATACAAAAGGGCAGCCTACCACAAACAGCATGCTACAGGTAACAAGTTTTGTTAATAACTGAGAAAGAAAGGGTAAATGATAAAGACATCTGGAACTAAACAGAGGGCAGCAGACTTTGCCATTAGATTCAACACCTAAAGCATCTCCACCCGGCACAGATCCCCAATTCTGAGCTTACTCTTTGACTCTGCATTGACTTCATCCACCAGCAATGACTTGGGAACGACAAGAGAGGTCTTTTCCATAGGGGAAGGAATCTTACAGCAAAGCGAACAGAGCTCTTGCGACACTGGCTGGGCACCTACCTCCTTCTCGATTTCTGCAAGGGTTTTGATTGTGATGCCCAAGAGATCAACTGGCTGAATCTGGCAAGGAAAAAAATAAAAAGTGAAATTTAGAGGCTTTTTTTGGTTTTGTTTTGTTTGTCTGAAGTCAGCAAATACTCTGCACCAGAGGTTTAGAGACACCATCTGTAAACACACACGTAATCCTGTTTCTTGGGCCACCCCAAGAGTGAAGAAGCAGAAGGTGGGATAGGGATACCACCTCTCACGCCTTTCTCCCTAAGCAGGCACAGCTGACACACATCTCGGTGTCACTTTGCACAGACAGATCTTTACCACCTGCCTGCTGCAGGACGGCTGTTACTGCAAGGTGCTCTGCAACACCCCGTGGACTTCGCGTGGCCCCAGCACAAAGGTGTGAGCGGTGCCAGCTGTGGGAAGCCCCGACCAAACTGACCATATGGTGGCAATGGTGTCTAAAGGATCCAAGGGGAGGATTAGCACCACCTAATGTCTCTGCATTTGTCCTCGCAGCAGGGACTCCGGCTTTCTGGGAATAACGGCCCATAAACAACCCTTCCAGAAAGCAACGGTTGTGAAAAACCTCGTCCGGCTGCACACGCACATTGTGTCAGCAGGAAGAAGAAAGCACAAAGCAGGAGCACAATGTGAAAAATCAGATACAGCTGATGGCTCGGTATTTGCTGTAACAGCTTCTTGTAAACTGATTTTTAAAGACATACTACTTTAGCATGGGAGGGATTAGGGAACTGGCAATGGGATGCTGAGCCTTTGAGTTCCGGATCACCAATTCAAATTAGCTCTGGGCCAGTGACACTCCAAAGTCACTCTGAATTGGTACCAGGGTTCCTGCCGTGCCCGGGCCATGGTGGCACCCTCCGCTGGCCCCGCAGCGCTCGGTACCCAGCAGGATCCTCTCCCCCCCGCCCACTGCCCCCTCTGCCCACAAGGGCTGCTGGAGCCTGGCAGCAGCAGCCAGTGCCAGGGAGCACCATGCGGTGACCATGGCCTTCAACTTCTGGGGGGCAAAAGCAAAGTGACAAAGCTGAGCGCCCTACAGCAGCTCCACAGCATGTTAAATCCAGGAGAGCTGCACATTTGCAGCTTTTGTTACAATCTATGCTCAGAAATGAGAAAGGCTTCCAGCACCAAAGCCCCGCTGCCCTTCCTATTTCTGATGGTGATGAACCTTCACCTCCTGGGAGAATCCAGTTTTAGATGAGATCTGGCAAAAGCCATTCCCACCCCAGGGGACAGTGCTGTGAAGCGCAACCCTGGGGCATCCCAAGCACTGGGTATACATTAGGCCCCACAAAAGAAAAGCTCCCAGAAGCAGGTAATTTGTGTTGATGCTTTGTGATCACTCTCCACACAAAGATGGATTTCAGACAGTGGGAGAACAAGGAAGGCAACTCACCCCTTCAGGAGCGCAGGCAAACTTCTCCGAAATCATAAAAGGCACTCCATCCATTGCTGAAAGGGACAAAAGGAGCAGACACGTCACATATCCAGCTGACTGCTGCCATGCAACTTCCCCCACTCCCAGTGACAGATTGAGTACTCATGGCATTGACACACAACTGAGAGCCCAGTTATTGCCAGCCTCTTCCTCCCTCTGCCCTGGCAGGGGCTTCCCTCTGCTCCAGACACAGCTGGGCCAGTCCCTCCCAGATCATGGGTCAGATGAACCCTCCCTGCTCTACCCAAACACAATTCCAGGGTCTCAATGTCGAGTCTTCCAGTGTGGCTCAGCTGCCAGCTGTTTGCCTTTACACCGTCTTGTGTATTCTTCCTGGAGAGCCGGTGATGTTCAGTGTTTCTGCCCTGCCATCACCACCTCGCACGCTGCACAGAAAGCCTCCCACAAGACGTGTCACTACAAGCCAGACACTTATTTTTAAAACACGTAACTCAGCAATTCCCACACAAGACTGAAAAGGGCACATTTCTGAGGCTGAGTGCAGCCCCAAACACACCCGCTTCATTTCAGTTACACCTGTAACATTTTAAGTCTTTAAAATTCAGTTCTGAAAGAAATCAAAACTTCAAACTAGAGCAAATTTAAGCCCTGAAATGCCCTCAAGTAATCCTCAAATAGGGTTTTCTTTCATAAAGCGTCTGTCCCCACAAACCTAGAGTTTCTCTGCTCACTGTTTGTAACTTCCCCCAGCACCAGTGAGGTACCAGGTTAGTGATTTAACAAGGGTTATTTAACAATACTTTGCATTTTACATTTGCTTTGTATATTTTTGACTTAGGCCCCTTCCTCCGGAGTCACTCCATCACTAAAGGTGCTGTGTGGCAGCCACAGCGCTACACGAAACAAAAGGAAACAGATGAAAAGCAGCATCACCAAATCCAGGAAGTTTTGAACCTGAAAGACCATCTGCGTTTGTTATCCCGACAGAAACCCGCTTTGATCAGTCACACGCCGGCTTTTGTAAAGTAATTTAAGACTAAGGCGTGATGAGCGTGCCCGTTCCCTGCGGCCCCCCCAGCCGGCCGCCCCCCAGCCCCGGTCCCGGTCCCCAGCCCTGCTGCAGCTCACAACCGCAGCAGATGAAGGCAGGGTGTGCCAAAGGCTCAGCAGCGCAATTAGCACTCTCCTAAACAAACGAGCTTCAACAGCGCTGTAATTAAGCAGGCCTGTAATTAAGTATATGCCCTTTATCATAACGATCATGCTTAAAAATGGCATGATGCATGGAAGTGTGTTATTAATGCTGCACTCCCAACACGCAGGAGCGTGCAGAGGAGCAGGGTGTCAGCCCCGTCACCGGGCTGGGGTAAAACGCATTAAAGGGAGAAATCGGGAAACAACACACTCATTCACCAGCTCCTTCCACAGCCAGGCACCGGGAGTCACGAGGGTTTAAATACCCACCACAATTCAGGAAACTTTATGGAAACACAGCAGCAGGCTGCCACCGCCCACCCCCCCCAGCCCTGGCAGCCCCATGCTCCGTCCCCCGTTGTGGCTGGGCTCTGCTGGCAGCGGCACCAGCGCGGGTGGGAGCCGGGTGGGCTCATGAGGGGCTGCAGGCCAGCAGGGGGGACCCCACTCATCCCTCGCCTCTGCTTCCAGGCTGAACCACGGCCCTGGACAAAGCAAACACTGCACAGGAAGGACACCTCCCTGTGCCCACTGCGCCCTCGGAGGTGCTGCCATGGGAAGAGACAGATTCCAAGCTACCACTGCCCGAGACGGGCTTTTTCACGTTCATGAGGCCTCCAAGGGTCAGGCACTTGGTGAGGCTGAGCCCTCCCAAGCACTGCTCACTGCAGATGAACTCACCGGGACAGGGACCAGGGGGAAGGCAGGATCCATAGGAAGCCACCTCCAGGGCCAGGCGTCTCCAGGGCTGGGCAGGAGCAAGCTCCCAGTGCTGCCCACAGTCTGCTGGTGTGTCCAGCACCAGGGCCCAGCTGCGGGTGCCATCGCTCCCACCGTGCACCATGAGACAGTACACAACTGCCGTTTACAGCAGCCAGTTAATTTCATAATAAAATTAAATGAAACCAGAACTGTAGGAGGCTTTTAATTCCATGTCTCTTGTTCTGATCTTGTGCTGTAAATAAACAGCAGCAGCAGCCTCTGATTCCTCTTTTTCCCCTTTTTTCCCCCGTTCTTTTGAAGCATTCCTGGCGGTCTCTGATGAGCAGAGCACGGTGCTGAGATTCTGCCCGGTGTCACCATTTCCATGGGCGGCAGCAAGACCCACCGGCCAGGCTGTGGCCTGGAGCTACAGCTCTCGTGTCAGTCTGGCCAAGAGCTACTCAAGGCTCCTCCATGTCCATTTGTGCCACGCTGGAGACCAGCAGATGGTAACACAAAGGGATAAAAAGAACTGGTGCTGGGGAATGCTAAAGTACAGCTCTCCTTCCAAAGGCAATGTGCTGATTCAGAACAAACAAGGTGGGCACGGTCCCGTCCTCACAGCATTGCCCCCAGCAGCGTTACTTGTGCCACCCCATGAGTAAGCTCAGGCATTGACCCACCTTGGTTTCAACATCTTCAAAAGGCTGTCACTTTGAAGTATTTTTAAAGACCTAGCAAGCATTTGCACCTCACATGCTTCTCTGAAAGCCTCTTTGCACAGGTCGGCGAAGCCTCCCAGGAGCAACTCCTCCCCAAGGGTCACATCCAATTAGCTCAGTCACTGCAATTAGATAAAAGAGCCAAAAGCAGCCAGCGGCCAGAACCGCGCTCCCAAAACCAAACCCTGAAGGACAGTGTCCCTCTGAGTCCCCAACAGCAGGATGAGGGGCACTCAAAAGGGCACTGGAGCCACCCCCTCAGTCGGTGCAGGACCACCAAAACCCACTTTTAACCGGTGGCTACTTCTTTGTAATTTACCAAGACTTACTCTCAGCCCTTAAAGAGCAGGCCACAAACCCCTGCTCTATAAATACAAGTTGTGAGCTCACTTAGAAATTCTCCCTTTCATCTGAAAAAGTACTGTCACCCTCCTCTCAGCACACCAGAGAAGCTGCCTTCTGTGCTCTAGACTCCAACTAAATCTCAGTTGTCAAATTAGTAATTCATCTTTCTTGAATAACTATATTTTTAGCAAAGCTACCAGATTTAAATAATCAGACCTGCCAATGCTACCCTAATTTAAACATGCTGACGAACTTTCACAGGCAGCATCAGCTAACATAATGAGTTTCTGGATGACAAAGAACTTCAGCCCGTAGTTCTCTACACTACCCAGGGTAATAAGCACTTGTTCTTTTCTACAATGCGCACATAAAAGAGGAATCTAAATAATAATTGCTGTAATTATCTTGAAAAATATGTGGTGATTAATGGTGATTATGAAAATCTGTATAATTGTTCATTGAAATCTCCAACGATCAGATGCCTTCTTGAAACAGCCATTAATGAAGAACTTTGGAAGACAAAAAGCGTCAAGACTCAAGCCAAACTCCCGCCCGTCTGCAGCCGGAGGCCGGGGCTGCCCGCTCCCGCCAGCGCTCCCCAGAGGGTCCAGGTGTCCATCGTGTGACACGCGTGTCACTGCGGTTCAGAGCACCAAGTTCAACCTGTTATTTATGCAAATAATTAATTACTCTTGTATCCAACTAGCAGTTTGTCATGACACATTAATGACTTGATAGACTTCTATGAACTAGTGAACACAGGACAGCAGAGCGCTTTTATCGTCATTTAATTTAAAAACGATCCTGTGTGAAATTATCTAGTCGTGAGTGATGGAAGCATAAAGAACAGACTCAGCAAAGCTTCTTTTGGATCATTGCTTTATTAATGGTAACGTCAGGGAAATGAAAAATGCTAACATTGTCATATTTAGCTCCTGGGTATAGATGAATGGCTGCCTCGGTGCCTGGCGGGTTCAGTTTGCACACTGCAGTGAGCGCTAATTCTTCACACCACCATTGTGGGGATACACAGCCATGGAGCAGTGTACACACCTCAACTCCCACGGAAATAACAGCTGGTTCTGCATTTAAATTCTCACCATAAGCTTTTATAGCTTTGGATTTCTTTATTGCTATTTTTGCATGGCCTTTTACACTTGAATTTTCAACTGCTGATATTAAAAATATTTAAATAAATCCATCCCTTGCATAACATTTTCCCGCATGACTTTGAAAACTAAGCATTGCTAATCCAAGCCAACCAACACTGAATGTACTATTGCCACCTTTAAAATTTAAATATAATCTTAGATTTTAGATTCTGTAATACTGCAAAAGTCTTCAGATTTTCCCCAGACTGAAACGCTGCAGTGTGTTTATGTTTTACCAAGATGAATATCTCATAAACCAGCCTACAGCAACACCGTAAAACCAGCAAAGCTCACCTCTTCAGAGAAAACCTTATTTTCAGCTAAATGACACCGGAGGAACTTGGGAGTGGGTCTGAAGCAGGGGCCTGGCAGGTGGCCAGGGCTGGTGGCCTTCCAAGGAACAGGACAGGGACTTCCCAAACCCTTGCAGGGCACGTGGGCTACTGGATCCAATGCCCGCCTGCCCGCCCAGCGGGGCTGCTCCCGCCCGCGGCACAGCCCTTCCCAGCCACCAGCATGGCAGGACTGGCGCTGGGTCCCCCAACCAGTCCCACGGGGGGCTGGTGGGACAGCACCACGCTGGCCCAGCAGGGACAGGACACCTGCATCAACCTGGCACGTTGTGTGACCTCAGGCAGGGGGAAGTCATTCCGAAGTATGGAAAAAATGCTCTACAACAGTCTGCAAAGCATCAAGAGCAGGATGCAAGCTTTCCAAAACAAACGGCGCTCTCCAGGATGTAGAGCTAAGCCTCCTACTTCTGTATTTCTGTACACGGGCATTTAAACAGTGTCTGAATACTAAACACGTGTGTGCGCTCCCTGTACTACCATGCGCCGTCCCAGCTGGAACCCCACCGCTCTGCAGCTCCAAATCACTAATGAGAGCAGAACCTCGGGGGGAAAACAGGAGCAAACCCTCCTGCGAGGTCCTGCCAAA